GTACAACGGGCACGGAAACCCGGTCGCTCATCTGAAACGATGCTGTAACCAGTTGAGGGGTATTGGTGGGAAAGAGGAGCTGCTAATGGCCTATTTTAGGGAAAGACTCACCGAAATCGCTTCTGAGTGGTATACGGATCAAGAAATTACCCATTGGCACATGTGGGACGATATGACCCGAGATTTTGTCCGCCAGTTCTAGTATAATGTGGACATCGCTCACGACAGAAACCTTTTGTCTAATTTAAAAAAGAAAATCGTAGAAAGCTTTCGCGAATATGCTGTCTAATGGCATGAGCAAGCTGCCAGGGTAAAGCCTCCAATGAACGAAATTGAAATGGTCACGGTCTTTCTACAAGCCCAAGAGGCGGACTACTTCTAGAACATGATGTCCGCCATGGGAAAGGCGTTTGCTGAGGCTATCAAAATTGGGGAGATAGTAGAAAGTGGGCTAAAAACAGGTCGACTTTTGATTCATGCTACTTTTAAAGCCATATCACCAGATGTTCAAAATGGTTCAAAGGATTTAATAAATGGAAACGGGAGAGAAGAAGAAGCCATGATGGCTTCCAGCTCGAGGGGGACCCACAGGTCATTCAGCTAATTAGATATGCTTCCTGAGGTCCCTCAATATTATTATCCCCTTCAGGATGCTGCTTATGCCGTGGCACCACCTCTTTATGCGGTGATGAACGTGCAACCTTACACGCGGCCACAACATTATACATAAAACCGAGCTCCACCTCCTAGAAATGTCCATCCTTACCAAGCTCCATATAATCCTCAACCAAATGATCCCCAGTACAATCCTCAACCAAGAGAGCCTTTCAGAAAGAATCAGTTCACCCCTATTAGTGAATCGTATTCAAACTTGTTCCATAAGCTAATCAGGCTAGATCTATTGCAGCCAGTGGCCCTGAACCGGCCGAACCCCGAGTCCCCCTCACATCGAGCTGATGCTAGACGTGAATACCACTCTGGAGCAATAAGACACAGTACAGAGGACTGTTGGACCCTCAAAAGGGCAGTTGAAGATTTGATTGAAGCTAAAAGAATTGTTTTTCAGGATGAAGAAGCTCTTGATGTGATGAACAATCTGTTGCCTACCCACAACAGCGGGCCAATAGTCGGAATATTTGTGAAGATGGGGAATTTTATCCGGCACTGAAGGCCATTGCAACCATTGCCGAGACAAAAGAAAAGTCGAAAGACGGTTGCCAAGCCTGAAACTTCCCCATCAGACGGGAGTCTCGGTAGCCAGTCTTGCTATCCTTTCTGCATTCGGATTATCTCAGGGTGTTATCCGGATGTTTACTTTATTGTCTTACTTTTCGATGTTAACCATTCTATCTTTTGAAATTCAAAAGCTCAAATAAAAAAAAATCAAAATCAAATGAAATTCAAATAAAAAAAAATCAAAATCAAATGAAATTCTTCCAATGATGTCTCTTTTCTTAATCTTATCATTTTTTCTTATTCTCTTTTTAATTCTATTAAATGGAGATTTCAATAACATGATATATTTGCGGACTTCATGCCCAGACCCTGAAACACTGTTAGACCTTGAAATAATGAATCAAGAATTAGATAGTAATGAAGACAAGTTTAAGGAAATAAAATAAAGAGTTGGAACAGCTAAAGAAAAATTGGCTCCAGATTGGAAAGATCCATACATGGTAACAAAAGTACTACCAAAGAGTGCGTTGTACTTGGGACACATTGAAGGAAATGTCCCTAAAACAACTGTAAATGCAAATGCAGTCAAAAGGTACTATGTTGGATTCTCTATATAGTATTAATGTTCTCCGGTTGGGATGAAGAAGACTTTCTTTCTCACTATCCAAATAACCCTTTGCAAACTCTTTGAGCCGGCTCCTATTATTTGATTACCTTCTTTGGAACCTGGAGTTATTATTGAAAAAAAGGGATGAATGAAAAATGAAAATTTTTGAAAGGAAAAAGAAAGAGAAAACAAAGCAAAAAGAAAAAACAAAAGAAAATCAAAAACAAAGTTCCATGAACTACGTTCGACTTGATTCCGAAAGGATACGTAGGCAGCCTCTCTGGGATTCAGTCACACCAAAATAAAAATTCAAAGTCTCCTAAAAAGTGAAACTGGGGCAGATGTTATAATGGTTCGGCGATGATCCCACCCAAAAGGTTCCAAAGTTGTAGCTCAATCCAAATCTTTTTTTACCCAAACCCTGTTCAAGTCCTTCCGATCAATCGGTGAGAATGTTCAAGGACCGAAGAATACAGTTACTTGGATCCGATACAGTCAAAATGAGAAAAATAAAATGAGAGTCTTATTGGTGAAAACCCACACGGGCACTGTGAGGCGACAGTAAGCAAAGAAATCAAAATGAGAGTCTTGTTAGTGAAAACTGGCAAAGAGCACTATAAGGCGATGGTGAGAAGAGAAATGAGAGAGGTCAACTCGTGAAAACCTGCAAAGGGCGTCCCTGATCAAAAAGAGAATCCTCACAGCCATCGGCATCGACAGAGTCCGGGCAAGGTTCTCGATTTTGAGGCAAAAGTTGTGTTGCATTTCTGAGAGTCGGACGGTTTATACAGATCAGGCATCCAGTCCAAAAGGCATGTCATGTTCATTGAAGTCCGTATGTACTCCAGATAAGTCCTTCTTTCCTTTCCCCGAAGGAGATACCTCTTGTCTAAATTCATTTATCAATTCCTTTGTTTGTTTTTACTTTGAATCCCTTTCAGTCTAACTCTATTCCGAAACTGAGACAAAGAAGGGATGACGAGACTGATTTAAAGGGTTCTCATTTGACACGAGCTAATATGCAATAAGGCACCCAGCCTCGTCAGGGGCATCAAGTCAACTTCGACCGACCATGGTGGTTGATGTTTTGAAATTGAAAACTCTTGGAAGTTGAAAAAGTTGAGTCCCACGTGGCTAACCGTCTCGGCAAAGATTTGAAAAATCCAAGGTACCCCAAATGCTCTGAAATTGAAGTAGGAAAAAAGAAGCCAGAATAGAAAGGCCTACGAAGGCGAAATAAAGTTGGAAAAGGTTAAGTCCCACGCGAGTAGCCGTTGCAGCAATTTTGAGGAGCCAAAAGTTCCCCAATGCTCCGAAGTTAAAAAAACAAAAAAAAAAGAAGGAAAAAGAAAAAAAAGAGAAAAGAAAAACAAGAAGTCAGAAGGGAAGGGCCTACATAGGCAAAATAAAGTCGAAAAGGTGGAGTCCCATCGACCAATCGTCATGGCAAAGTCTGGAAATGCCAGAGTTTCTCCAGAGTCTGAAATGTAATCGGTATTCGGGAAACAACCGATTGCAGATGAAAGGGGCCGAGATCAAATGGTTGAAATAATCAAGGCCACAAAACCAACCACCATTTCAAATTGACAAATTGTTTTTTGTTTGAAAAACAGAAAACATGTGTAATTCGAAGCAACCTTGCAAGAAACAGGTGCAACAAAAAAGAAACTGCGCAAGGGCTGGAAACAACTTTGCAGCAACAATCCAAAAAGGGAAGTCCCCTCCAAAATTCTTTCCCGCATTTACTCATTCTATGAAATAAAAAAAATAAAAGAAAAAGAAGAAAAATTCAAAATCATGGTAGCCTAGGGTCCCCAATCTCTAGCTACATTTTTCCAATATAGGGTCCCATTCCCTAGTCGCTGCCAGCATAACCTGGTAGTTTTTTCCAGTATAGGGTCTCACTCCCTAATTGATCCCCGGCATAACCCGAGGACCTTTTCCGGTATAACCCGATGACTTCCCAACATAACTCGTGGACCTCCCCGGCATAACCCAAGACTTTTTCCGGCATAACCCGATGACTTTTCCGGCATAACCCATGGACCTTCCCGACATAACTTGAGGACCTCCCCGGCATAACCCGTGGACCTCCCCGGCATAACCCGAGGACCTTTCTGGCATAATCCGATGACCTCCTCGGCAGAACCCACAGACCTTTTCTGGCATAACCCGATGACTTTCCCGACATAACCCGTGGACCTTTTCCGGCATAACCGGTGGACCTCCCCGGCATAACCCGAGGACCTTATCTGGCATAACCCGATGACTTTCCCGGCATAAACTGTGGACCTCTCCGGCATAACCTGAGGACCTTTTCCGGCATAACCCAGTCATTTTTTTTCTAGCATAACCTGGTAATCTTCCCAACATAGGGCCTCCGATCCCCATTTGATTTTATTTTAGATATAGGGTCTCCACTCCCTGATCTCTTTTTCTCAAGGATACAATCCCGATTTTATTGCTTACAATAAAGAAATAGTTTAGATTTTGTTGCAATAACTCATGAAATTTTCCTAGTGAAAACTGGGGCAGAAAAATTTCGTTCGTTTATTTGTTTTGATGCCTGAGAAGGTTTTTATCGTGAGGCACAAGTTTCAAGGCGACCAAAAGAAGAAATCTCGATTCAAAAAAAAGGAAAGAAAATTAAGAAAAAAAGAAGTGAGCTCTAAAGTGTAGAAGCGGAGAGAAGACGTGGACTGCTCAAGATATGGTTGAAGTCACAAACTTTGCATGTCGCACCTTGATCCAAAAAGCTGTAGAAGAATGAATCAGCGGTTGCAGCTAAACGAGCATCAAGATTCAGATCAGAGTCAGCAGGAAGAACCGGCAAAGACTCAAGATCAAGCTTTAGAAGGTTTATAGATAGAAATCTTGTAACTCGTAGCTGATAGGCTTATCTAGTTTAGCTTTTCATTTTTTATTTTGGTGTAATAAGGAGTTCAGCAAGCAGAAACAGCAGCAACAACAAAGAAATCACAGTTTTTCGGTAGTCTCAGCTACCAAAACTTCTAGAACTACACCAACCTGATTCCTTTAAAGCTAAGGATATGTAGGCAACCTCCGAAGTAAGGTTCGGTCAAACTTTTTCAAAAAAAATGCTTCCAAATGGAGTATCAAACGGGCAAAAATAGCTCGTAATTGCTCACTTTATCTTTGCCCGAAAACTCTTCATGTTCTCGAGAAAAGAGGGGCAGCTGTGAGCACCTAATTTTTGACCCGCATGGAAATAACTCCTAAAAAATAGACCAAAAATAATTTTAGTGAATTTTAGGAGTTTTTCTTTTTTTAGTTGCATTCCATGCATCTTTAACATTTTAAAATTCATAAAAAAATTATCACATTTTTTATTCCATGCCATCTTAAGTTTAATTTGCATTTAGGAATTTAATTTCATAATTTAATTGCATTCATTAAACAAAAATCACAATAAAAAAATTACTATAATAGTCATGTTCATATTTTAGCTTTTATTTTAAATTAATTAGTGTTAAATTAGTAAAAATAAGTAAGATTAACTTTACAAAATAATTTAAGGTAGAGCGTAATTTAGGATTTTATTTAGAAGGAATTACAACCCATGTCACTTGGCCCAATAGCCCAACCGAAAATGGCCCACATTTGAAGCTCTTACCCTATTTAGCCCATGTTGTACATAACTTGAAAGAAGATTTTCAGCCTTTAGCCCATTATTAAAGACATACTTTTAGAGTTTTTATTATTTTCTTCTTTCTTCATTCCCTTCTCTCTCTCACCGCCTCTCACTTCTTTCTTTCTAACCCACATAGATCCCTCATCTTCTCTTAACCTAGCCCCCGCATTCCCCCTCCTCTACCCCCCACGTAGTTCTGCCATTAATGGCTCGAAGAAGGTCGGGCTCCTACTCCGTTGTCCATGGTGGCAAGCAGAAGAATGAAGAAATTTGAAAGAAACATGAAAATACACACAGATCTGAAAATAAATAGCTCTCAAACTTGATTTGCACCAACAAACAACCACTAATTTTGGAAAATTTTGAAGTTCTGGTAATTTTGGAAGATTTTGAAGTTTGAAGTTCTGGAAAATCATAACTATGTAGCAGGTTGTATCGACACTGTATAATAGTGTATAATTGTGTATATGGATATACAAACACCTCTTATACACTATTATACATGTTTATACAATATTGTATAATTGTGTATAAATGTGTATATTTGTGTATAATGTTGTATAGATATATATTTTTCCAGTATAATGTTGTTAGCGTGTAAGAGACCTCTACAGAAGTTTGACACTTCCTTCTCTTCTTCTTTTTCGTGTATATGCTATATGAAACAGATTTGTACGCGTTGGAGGAATTCTACAATTCATTTATCAATTTTTTTTATTTTTCTTTTATCCTGTTGGATTGCTTCAGCAATTGCACATAAAAATGCTTGAATTTCTTACCTTCAGATAATATGTATTATTCAGGATAGGATTTTTGAGTTGCGTTGTGGCTTATTTGCATTTTTTTATCAAATGCTTAATAATCAAAGGAAATCAAGAGAATGAAAACAACTGGTTGTATAAAGAGGGAGCAACAACAGTAGTTGATTGTGTGAAATAAGCTGTTTTTCGGGAATTAACCGATTATTTTTGGGCTATAAATTTGCAAAGTGATATCTAGGCTATTATGTTGTAAGTCAGGTGTGTGAGTTATATTTATGTGAAATTATCCCTTTTATTTAGCTTGTTTAATTAATCAAACTAATTTTTTTAAAATCAATGAAAGAAAGAAAGAACAAAAAAAAAAGTTATCTTATTTTGAATTGGGCCAAGGCCTGCTCCTTCAGACCTGCTCCTTCACAAAAAGAGGAGCGTCGTTCCCCTCAAAAAGTTCCTGACCTCACTCAGCAAAAAAAAAGAGAGAACAAGAGAATCAGAATGATCAGACCTTCCTTTTTTTTTAGATTAGATCAGACCTAAGAGAAGTGACCTTCTCCTTCAGGAAAACAGAGAAACCAGAAACTACTAATTTCACGAGACTGTTGATCATTTTATGGGTTTTCTTTAAAGCTTTTTGAATCGAAATTTTTTGTTGTTCTCTGCTGTGCTCATCTCGCTATAGCTGGACTTCATCCTTAAGAGTTCTAGATCTTCATTTGATCTTTGTTCTGCAGTTGTTTCTGCCTTTAGGTATGTACCTGATCGAAACTACTATCCTCTGTTGTGTTTAAATAAGACTTGTGGTATTATGAGTTGCTTATGTTTGGCTTTATATATTTAGTGTGTTTATGTTTCGAAGCTACTTAGTGTTTTTCCTCTATTTCGAAGCTACTAGTGTTTGTCCTCTGTTAATCTTTGTTGTTGTTGTATGTTAAAATTAAAATTTAAGTTGCTAAAGTGCTCATTGATTAGTTCATTACTTTCTGTTGCCTCTTATTGTTTAAACTAATGATTTATGCTTAAAATGACACTGAGATATGGCGGATGATGGATTTGACCACCTGTTGGTCAAGTTTACCTCTGAAAAAGAGACTCAGCTCCCCAGGTTGTAGTTGCCGAGATTGATAATTCTACAGTTTCTTGTATGTTCGTGACAATATGTAGAAACAGTTGGGTCCTAATTTAGTTTTAAAATTCAAAAATTTTAATTAGAGGCTAGTGGTTGTATCGTACTGCCATAATTGGTTCAACATTGATTAAGCTTTAGGATTATTTTTGTTAGATTCCTTATTTTATTTTCTTAAATGCTTTGGAAATTAAAGGTCTTCTTGGTAGTTCAGAATACTTAGAAACGCATGTACAGATTCTTGTATTGCTCTTTAAGTGATTTAAGCATTCTGCTTGTCCTATTCGAGATAGGTGAAGATGTTCCATGGGTTTTAATTATTTGCTAACAGGTAGTTTATTCAATTAAATTTACTTGCTTTCTTTGTTTCAAACTAATTTTGGAACTATTCTATACAGTCCATCTTAGCGTTCGGTAATTATCAATCTTATTCATCCTTATTTTGGTTTAATTTAATGGATACTTGTGATGTTGGTTTCTTAAGATATGATACTACACTGTTAATAGAATTTAAGAATGGATTTTTTTAATTTATAAAAATAGATAAATGTAACAGCAAAAGGATTTGTGTGTAAGGGAATAGTTATCGTCTCCAATTTGGCTTCTGTAGAGGTCATCACATGGTGGTGCCAAATGGGGAAGTCTGCCAACCCGCAAGAATATAAAATAAGTATGGCTAATCCTTATTTTCAAAGCTAATCTACTCTTTTTCTTCTACAACTAATTTTCATAAGCTTTTGGCCACCCAATAATCTCAAACATAGTTTTAGGGAAAACAATTTATAAATGTCCTAGTTTGCTTTAGGCGCGTTAATTAAATAAATCATCACAGTTATGGGTACGGTTTTTGTGGCATGGTCGTGATACCTAATCTCTAATTTGGGTGTGCATTTCATGTGACTCGATCATAACAACTTCGAACATTAATAAAATAAATGTATCGTGAATAACGGGTGCATTTCATGTAGCGTGGTTTGCAGTGTCTTCCAAAACAAACAAGTGTACGACAATCGTAACTTGTTCAAGAGATAAATCTATAAATCCTAAAAAGCGGTTAAAATAATTAAAAGCGATTATAAAGTTAAAATGCACAATAGGTTTAAAACATGCAGTAAATCAGCTAATAGGCCAATTATTAATAGTTTAAGCGACCGTGCTTGAACCACGGAACCCGGGAATGCCTAACACCTTCTCTCGAGTTAACAAAATTCCTTATCTAGAATTTTTGATTTCGCACACTTTTAAATAAAGTCGATTTCCTCGATTTGGGATTTAAAATAAACTGGACTATTCCAAGTGGCAACTCGAAAAATTAAATAAAATAATCTCATTTCGAATAATGTCACTTTAATTGGAAAAACTCCCTTATATACCCCCTCGGATGGTAAAAAAGGAGGTGTGACATTATGTTTAGCCCCACGGTGGGCGCCAAACTGTTTATCGTGAAAATGGTAATAACAATTAAATTTGATTTTGTGGTTCTAAAAATACTGATATATTTTTATGCTAGTTTTTAGGAAATGGATGCTAAGTAAGATATTAGAAAACAAGATTATAGCTTAGGGGCCTCGAGCTGTCGTGCATGAGACCTCGAGGTCGAGTTGGGTGGCCGGCTTAGAGCGACCGAGGGAAGACTAACAATTATGAGAGCTACGATGATGGCTCTTTATGATCAATGGTACGTAATAAATGAAGAGCGATAAATAGAACATAATGAATATAAGCAATAAATGGAAGTAATGAGATCAAGATAATATGTTAGAGAGTAGAGAGAATATTCTTGTGTATCCAATATTGAGCATCAGATGACTACAAAATGACAAGGATCCTCTTTATATATGAGGGGGAATCCCAACATAGTACAAATACATTTATTACAAAGATATGTGGCTGATACAGCCTTTTAATGCTACAGTACGGGTTTGGACTAACCTAATAGACTTTGTCAGCTCTAGTCACGTGCCTTGGGAACCTCACACCGATCCACCGACATCACTTATTTACCCTGCCTCGAGGCCAACCGTTCCTTACGCTACCTCGAAGTAGATTACTGAGGACCCTCGAGGCCAGGGCCCCGAGCTAAGCTTCGATCTGTTAGGGGAGGCAGTTCCTTCGAGGCGCCTTGGTGACCGTAAAATCGAACCGCCGATTTTTGCCGTATACAATAGTCATATCCTTGTTTTTACCATCTAGGACCTAATCTCGATACTTAAATAATTGCTTATCTTCGTATAGACTAGCCTTTATGCACTCTATATCAGGCTTGACCAATAACCAATTATGTCTTTGATATTTTTTTTCACATTGAATCTAGTACGTGTACTCTCTAGTCTATGCATATCTTTATCCAGAAGTATCTTTACAGGAGCTATATACATCAAATTACTCATTTTTTATTTCCATAAGTTATAATATTTATCTTTCCCGAACAATAAAAATAGTACAGTTATATCTTCAGTAGTGCCCTCCATCAGCATTGCTAAATATGTATATCGCTGTTGGTTTTAAATGTACTTCAGGCTCTTATGCTAGGTATATATCTCATAGGTTTCTTCCTATAAATAGTGTCTCTAATTCATAAAAGGAATTACCATTATGACCATCTCTAAATCATGAGTGACATAATATGACTTGAGCTTCTTCAATTTCCTTGAAGCATAAACTATCACACGACCATTCTGCATGATAAAATATCATAATCCTACCCTCAAAGTGTCACGACCCTAAAACTGATCCAGTCGTGATGGCGCCTATCGTGAAACTAGGTCTGCCGACACATACCCAAAACCAACCAGAAAATCAAAAGAAGTCATTTAAAGCCATTAATAAACTAAAATCCCATAGTATGAGTTTAAACAAGCAGTGTGAAAATATAGCACAAGCCCGACATCGGGGTGTCACCAGTCATGAGCAACTCCAACTCGTCTAGGAATAAGAAAGGACAACATAGTCCAAAAATAAAATACTAAGACAATCTGGATAAGATAGGAAGGAGAAGCACTGGGCTGCGAATGCCAAGCAACTACCTAGTCAACTTTGGAGACCTGCTGGAAGATTGATCAGCACTCACTATCACGTCCCGAGACTCATGGATCTACACATAAGGTGCAGGGAGTAATGTGAGTACGTCAACTCAGTAAGTAATAAAAGTAAAGGCAGCTGAGCAGTAAGGAAACATGTAATTTCATGTCATAGCACTACAACAAAATAGTATATGTCCAGAACAATACAGGAAATCAATAAAACTCATAAAAACAACTCGGTTCAGTAAAACCTTTTTAAAACATCTTTCAATAGTTTCAAACGAGTGATGAAAACAGTGAGTAAAAGGATAGAAACGTTAACAGCCCCTCGGGCAATATCACATCTCTCACACTGGGTACCCATGCTCACTGGGGGTGTTCAGACACCGGAGGGGCTCCTACAGCCCAAGCGCTATCACTAGCCATCTCGTGGCATAATAAATCAAGCCCTCGGCTTCTCATACATCACAATCAGTACAACATACTGCGGTGTGCAGCCTGATCCCATGATATCCTCACAACACAGGTCCTTGGCCTCAGTCAGTCAGAAATTTCTCAAGCCACTTGAACAGTAAAACATGATGCTCAGCCCAAAATATCATTTAAAATATCAAAACGGAGTAAATACGGTTAAATTATGAAACAATAGAATATAGCATGACTGAGTACAGATATTAAATCAAAACAGTGAATAATAGTAGTAAAAAGCCCCTAAGGGTCCAAAATAGTTGGCACGAGACCAAAATATGGCATTCAGCCCAAAATATAGTAATACTTTCCAAAACACGATGATTTCAAAATATTTTCAATCAAATACGCGACTTAATAGTTGTACGGGACGGACCAAGTCACATTCCCTAATGGTGCATGACCCCACACTCGTCATCTAATGTGTGTGTTACCTCAAAGTAGCACAACAATGTGAAATCCGGGGTTTCATACCCTCAGGACAACATTTACAATCATTACTTACCTCAATCCGGTCCAACTCTAGCTCGCAATGTCTTTTCCCCTGGAATCAGCCTCCAATTGCTGAAAATCTAACCAAAATTAGTATCATACCATTAATATGCGATAAAGGAACAAATCCCAAGCAAAAATAATCAAGTTAACTCAAAAATCCCGAAATTGGCCAAACCCGACCCTCGGACCCACGTCTCGGATTTCTATAAAAATCACATCACTAAAATTTTTATCCTTCCACGAGTCCAGACATACCAAGAACATCAAAATCGGACCTCAGATGATCCCTCAGATCCCCAATTTTCGCTCTCTAATTTCAAGCCCAATTCCCCAATTTTAGGCTTTAAATCCCATTATTTCATGCCCAATTAGTTAGAAATCACCATAGAATCGAGTATTAAGTTAAAAAATCTTACCTCCAAGTGGTTCCCTTCGATTCCCTCTTCAATCCCTCTCAAAAAGCTTCAAAACCGTTCAACAATGGAGGAAATGGACTAAAAATCGCGAAGGCAACTATTTAAACATTCTGACCAGGTGCTAATTCCTTCATCGCGATCGTGGAAACAGCTTCGCGATCGCGAAGCACAAACATTGACTGCCCTCATCTTAACCCTACGCGATCGCGTAAACCTCCACGCGGTCGTGAAACACTGCGTTTACTAACCCACCCGATCGCGGCCTTTGACGACCCGGCTGGTCGTCTTAAGAATTAACGCCCCGATCCCCTATTAACTGCTTTTCCCAAGTTTAATTCTGCTATTTTGATTTGCCGGGATATTCGGTGTCGAGTTTCGGAGAGTTTTGGGACACTTAGTCCCTAAATGAGAGCTTAAACGTTAGAAAATTGTCCGTAGTCGGAACAGTATGAAGACGACCTCGGAATGGAAATCTGATGGTTCCGTTAGCTCCATTAGGTGATTTTGGGCTTAGGGGCGTGTTCGGATTGTATTTTGGAGGTCCGTAGCTAAATTAGGCTTGAAATGCCGAAAGTTGAATTTTTGAAGTTCCGATCCGATAGTGAGATTTTGATCCGAGGGTCGGAATGGAATTTCGGAAGGTGGAGTAGTTAGGTAGTGTTTAATGTGATGTATGTGCAAAATTTTAGGTCATTCGGACAAGGTTTGATAGACTTTTTGATCGAATGCGTATTTTGAGAATTTTGGAGTTCTTAGGCTTGAATCCATGGTTAATTCGAGGTTTCGATGTTATTTTAGGTGTTTTAAGAATTGGTACTAGTTTGGGTAGCAATTTGTGACTTGTTGGTACCTTTGGTTGAGGTCCCGGAGGCTCGGGATGATTTCAGATAGTTGACGGAAAGATTTTTGGAATTT